GTAAAATACATAAAAACAAGATGCTGAGAGACAAAATCACTTTAATTGAGCGTATTAATAACACATTATGAAACTGGCCCCCTTTATCTCAAGTCCTATTGGTATATTGAGATCAATAAAATTGTGAGAAAGTATATCCCTAGAGCTGCTGTTACCGCAGCTGCAATGAGTATTGCAATGGGTCGCATAAGGAACAAAAAAATTTGGCTCTACTTCGATCGGATATCGGATTATGCGGCGCGCTGTAAGAACTGCAAACTAAATTTGTCTTGCAAACATACTTCAGCAAACTTGGTCCGTCATTTGTATTACAAGTAGGTCGTGTTCATTTAATATATTGCTCAAATACTTCACCCATTGTTGGTGGCTCCTTTTTACTTGTCCTCAGGCACCATGTTGACGCGAGCTACTACGGTGCAGAACGTACTGGGTTTCTAAAGCAAAAGCGCGGAAGAATTAATCAACGTTCTGAAGTTGGCCTACAAGTAGCATCTGCGTATCTACCGCCGGTACTAACTGCAACTGATCCATTCGATCCACTTGCGGTAATAAAACAAGAAGTTGTCCCATTAAAACTTGTACGTTGCAATGGATCCGATGAAGATGCTGAAGACCATGAAGATGCGGTATTATTCTCATACAAAGCGTACATATGTTATTTCAAATTACATGTCTCACTTTTTAAATAGTGTTCGGTACATGAATATCATCAAGTGAACCCGCCGCTTTCTTCGTCATCGCAACACTCTCCTTCCGTAGAGATAAACGGAAACATCGATATTAATAACGCTAAACGCACAGAGGAAGGCAACGTACAGGAGGCAGTTAATGTTCAAATGTGTATGGAAAACACTCACTTAAAAGAAAAACTTATGGCCGAAACACGATACTACAATGAAATGGCTGAATTAGCACGATCCAAACGAATTATGATTGAACTGCAGAGTAAGAAGCTTATGCTGGAAATGGAAACAATGCGCTCCAGCTGACTAGTGACTACCAGTCGAATTCCTCAATCGTTCTCGCATTGTTGGTAAAAATTTTAAAAATTGTTTAACATGAATGTTGAATCAAATTTAACCTTTACAATTAATGAACGTTTATTTATTCTCTTAATAACAGGCATGAAAAAAACTACAAAAATCGATACTTAAGAATATCGTCGTTTAAAGTACAAAACCACGTATCGTCATTCTGCAACACCGCGTAACTGACATTTTCTCTCAAAAATTGGATCTGCTCATATGCTTAGCCATTCGTCCTGAAATATTCTGGCCAGAAATGCGATTGCTTTATAAAAAAGAGAACCATTTTGAAATATGAGTGTTTTTATTCTCTATAAAAAAAAATTTATGCAACCACACATACGCCGTTTTGCATTTTGTTCATACGCGTTTTTGTACTTTAAACAACGATATGTGAGTTTCCTGCTACTATTAAACTTCTAATGACGTTGCGTTCTAAAATGGTTGATGTTAATTAATTTTTGAAATTATTCAAAGTAATGGATGTGGAAGTGTGCGCTTCGGGCATGTCGTTGTAAACCAAGCCATTCGAGCCTGAATTCCTTAAACTGTCCAACTCCAGTCTGACCTTTTTAGCCTGCAATGCAGTGAAATATTTTTGCATACGGTAAAAGCCCGCCTTTTCTCTGAAATATTCCGTTTCCATTCGTAAACGTTCTTCCTTTAGTTTACGTAATCGCTGGGTATCCGCTGATACTTTTAAAATTTTTTCTGGCGATGTATCAGGGCTTGAAGCTCCGGATAAAAGTCGTGACTCTGGGAAACTTTCCATCATCTGCAAAATGTTTAAATATATGTACAAGCTTATATTAACGCTGATAATTTACAAACATGTAGTTGATATTACATTAGGATCGAATGGATCCTCATCACAATGAAGTTGTGCTGCATGATCTTCCTCTATTATATCGTCGAATGTTGGATCTTTCTTTATACCTGCATCGTTATACTCTATTGTAAACTCTTCGTTTGCTCTTTGCCAATTGTCATCTTCATTTTCATATTCGTAATCATCTGTATCGTCACAAGTTTCCTATCAAGAGACAGCTATTTATACATACAATTTACAAACAAATTAATTTAAATAACCTCTGGTTGTTTTCGTCGTTTTCGTGGAGGAGGAGGGTTCGAAAGGACTGAGTGCGTGCCTGTAAGATGTTTACGAATTTCTTCAAACCCTTTACCAGCAAACGTGTGGTTACACATATTGCATTTAATTTTGCCATCGTCCGTGTGTTCACAATGCTCCCATATAAAATTTTCGTCGATATCTGCTAATTCGTGCTCCGATCCGCTAAAGCCGCGTCCTCGTGTAACAATTCCATGCATGCGATGTAAATGCCTTTGTAAATTACTTGTGCCTTGAAAGGAAAGATTTTTCTTGCAAAAACTGCAACGCACAACGTCCTGGCCAAGCCTTTTGCAATATTTCCAAACAACGCTCGTAGACGCGGATGATCGTCTGTGTCGGCGAACAATTGCGTCAGGTTCCTCCTTTACATCGGCCATTCCATTATCGTCTTCGATAATATTTAAAATTTCCTATAGTGATTTTGAAATTTATTAAATATTTAAGTAAGCAATGCAAAACAACTTGCCGCTTCGTTTTCGACGCGTCCAACAATATTATGCCGACGTTGCAAATGCGTTATTACGTTTGCAGTGCCATGAAAATTCATAACTTTCTTACAAAGTTTACAACGAATTCTGTGCCTTGAAAGTTTATCGCAATAGTTCCAAACGTAGCTGCTTCCCTTGCGCTCCTTGCGTAAGCGAACCGCATCGGAACTGTTCTCGCGTTGTACTTTATATATCTCTTCATCACAATTATTAATGGACGAGTCCATTTGATTGGACATCTCTGCTACTAAGTCTTCTGAATCTTCCATAACTTTTGCTGGTCCCAACTCGTGAATACTAATAACTTCGGTATGTTTTCGTCGTAGATGTTTGGCGAGATTTGCTGTATTTCCGCCACCAAAGTATAGTAATTTTTTGCATAAATGACAGCGCGCGTATCTGCAGTCTTCTTTGGTACAATATTTCCAAATAAAACTTCGGCTTGGACGACCCAGTACACTGTTATGTGTAGGCTTATATTCCTGTTGTGAATATATAATAGTTTTCTTTTAAACTTGAACTGTGTTTGAGTCGATAATGTGCGTTACCTCTTCAGTTTGATGTGACTGTCTACTTATATCGTGTGCTGCAAGCAAATGTCGGGCTAAGTTGCTAGTTTTATTACTAACACTGCCGGCACAAATAGTGCACTCTAGTTCAGTGGTACTACTACGTCTAAAATATTTCCAAACAAAACTAGGCTTGCGCCTTTCGAAATTTTTCGGATTTGTGGAATCTTTTGTTGACCCTATTTGAGCACACACCTCGTGGGTAGATGTATTTTTGAATTGGTCATTATTTCCCTCCTCGGAGGAATCAATTTCCATTTGCACAACTAGATGTACGCTGCAGCTTTCGCCAAGCAGATAATTTTTACTTATGTATTTTGCAAAGAATACCTGGAAATGTTAACAAATCGCTTGAAAATGTATGCAAACTTCACTTTGACATTTGTTATCGACCTCGAATCAGAATCGTGTACAACTTCAACAACTATTTGATATTTGTCATCGACATGTAATCAAAAGCGTCCACCAGTGCTGCCGTTTGCTTATTTTCGAGCATAGTGAAAACAAATAAAGGGCGGTCCACATAGAACTTTCGCGTTGGCTTTGGCGTTGGCGTTTGGTATGACAGAACGCACGTTAAAAATATACTTGCTACAATGAACGCTTGGCAGCGAATGCTTTGGTCACTAAATTAACAGGGAAATGTTTAGTACCACTCACACCGTTTTTTGGGTGGGTGGCGGAAGGGGAGGGGGCGGGGCCCCCAAAACCCCCGCCCCCCCCAATAGAAAGGAGACAGTCGCCGCTTTCTAAAAAGGGGAACCCCCCCTTGGACTCCTCCCACAGGCACCTAGGGAACCGTTTGAAAAAGGGGGAAAAACGGATTTTTCTTAGGCAAACTGAGCAGTTTGATGTGGAATATGACCCAACTAACAGAAACCGTGGGATTTTTTAATAAAAGAAATTATGCCAAATTAGATATGGGGGGATTTTGAATAAAGAATAAAAAGTTAATTAAAAATAGAAAAAAAAAACAGTTTTTATAAAAAAAAATGTTTTTTTTAACAAATGTATTTTTGCCAAAGAAGGGGGGCTGAACACCTTTTGCAGAGAACACCTTT